ATCTTGTGCTTACTTCCTTGCGTACGGAGGACAGCTACGTATGACTTAATTTATTTTCTGTTGCTTTCACTTCCAGAGACAGTTGTAAGCACTGTGTAACTGCCTCGAGGATGCTTGACCATTTTAACACAACGTGGTACGATCATCCCCCGTTGCGCGGAGTGAGGTTTCTCGACCCCGCACAACATGATCTACTCGACCACCATTATGGTTACCGCCAAAAAAAAAAACGAGGTAAAAAAAAAAAACGGTAACCTGGTTGCCGAGTTCACGAAGTGAATTGGCTTGTTTTACAACGTCGTTGCCAAGCGACGAAAACCCAATCCCGATGGCAAACACCGAGTGGGGGGCTTGTTTTACAACGTCGTTGCCAAGCGACGAAAACCCAAACCCCGATGGCAAACACCGGGGGGGCGGCTTGTTTTACAACGTCGTTGCCAAGCGACGAAAACCCAACCCCGATGGCAAACACCGGGGGGGGCGGCAGGAGGGGGGGGGTATTGTGCATCTGGGTGCCCTTAGCCGTGTGCCCTCGTCCGCGCTCGCCGCGCCTGTACACTGTTTGGTGTCCCACACCAAAATAGACGACTAAAGGGAAAGCATGATCAGCGCACCCTCAGGGGGTGTCATAGGCCTAGCCCAGGCTATTGCGGTGCAAGACTACAGCCAAAAGCATTCTCGACGGGCACTAGAAGAAGCAAACTCGGGGTCCATCGAAGAAAAAAATGGAGAAAAGGCAGTGTGAAGAAGATGAGGGAGGGAGGGGAGTGGGGGTCGGGAAGGGGGGAGAAGCGAGGAGGATGGGGAGAGGAAGAGGAGAAGAAGGAAGAAGAGGGGCCGGACGTACGCTCGCCTAAACTCACCCCGAAACGGCGTTCATTGTATGTTGGAGAATGAATGTTGGAAAGTGGTCGATGGAACGGTAGCCGGAAACGGAAAGCCTCACAGCTATACTTAGTTGCGAGCTCCACATGACATACCTAACACGGATTCCGTGGAGCTTTTGTTGTGGGGTTCTTTTCATGAACAACGCGTCGAGGCGTGACGCTACTCCGCGCTTTGTAGGGTCTCTCTCACTGAAAATTGACTCGACCATGTCGTGTGGATGATGTATGTGGCTTCTCCAACAACAACACGTTGTTAACGCAGGCATGTAAGGTGTCAAACTGATGTCTTCATCTGTGTACGACAAGTTGAACAGGTCTGAGTTGCACTAATGAACGAATACAACGAACAAAAACGATAAGAAAACTGGGAACAGAAGAAATATGTCTATAATTTGGCCCTCTCGGGGCGGTGCAAAATTTTGTCGCACACCCTTAGTCTAGACTAGCTATCTTTTCTTTGAGCGAGAGAGACTTCGAGTAAACCGCATGTGCAATTTCCTCAACAACTACTGATGATTTCATACTGGTAGTCAGGTAGCTGACATGCTTTCACGGCTACAGCAACTCGCCACCCGCGGACGCTGAGGCAGGGCCGTCCCGTCTCATCGAAGAGGGTGATCTCGAAGTGAATTGTTGTGGGTGCTGCAAATGAATCGTCTGTCTCCTCGCTTGGGTTTGCAATCGCAGAACATCACCACAGGAGGATTGCGAGTCGTTCATGGAACCAGTAGAAGAGTGGTTGACTACCGATGAGAAACGGAAATCTGGGTGCCCGTTCTCGCCAACATGGCGCCGGCTCCTGTTTCCCATATTTCTTTCTGTGGACAGTTTCAATCAGCTGTGCTGCTCTACGTATGTTCGGTTTCACCGGCTGCGGCGGTGATGCCGGTCTCCACTCGCTCCAAGAGGGACACGCCTCGATCGACTCGCGCCCGAGCGGGCCGATGTCTCTCCTAGAAGGCCCGAGAGCGGGACGAACCGCCTGAGCACATCGCGACAGAGCCGCTGCGTCATGCCTGCTGGCGGCAGAGCTTCGGCCACATGGTCGTCGCGACGTGTCGCCGCCCGGGGAACGCCTCCCCCGGCTGCCCCTGTGGAGTCGGCTCCTCGCGGGGCCGGTTACCGTGAGCGGCGCCCTGCTGCCCCGTCACCTACCGCTTCTGCATCGGAATCTAAGGAACTCTGTGTTGACCTTTCGAGAACACGACGGGCCGCCGCCGCCGGCACTCCCCGTTCTCTTCCGCCGAGCGCATCGCGACCTCGAATGGGCCGCCGACAATCTCTTACTTCCTTCGGTATTTGACAAATGTGCATAGCTTCCATGGGTGTAGATATATACTTCAGAATCTATCGACGTGGTGTTGACTTCGATGGAAGTTGGTATATTGACTTCTGCTATGGAAGCTAGTGGAAGTCGATGAGCTTCCACGGATGAGCTTCCATGGAAGTAGAGCCTTCGACTTCCGTGGAAGTATATCACACGAGTTCAGCTTCCATCGAAGTCAACATGAGCGACTTCCATGGAAGCGAAGACTGCTCGACCTTTGAAGCTGAGCAACGCGGACGACTTCCATGGGAGTTATACTCAGGGTCCACGGAAGCTGTATCCCACTAGCTTCCATGGAAGTATATCACCCGAGTCCGGCTTCCATGGAACCCATCGCGAAGATCTGGCAGCTTGCACGATGGCTATCCTTCACGAGGTTCCCCGCTTCCATGGAAGTCATCGTGAAAGACTTTGGGGGCGTCACACCGAAACGATGCTTGAGTGCCAAGGGTTTGCTTAACGTTCCACAACCTCCAAATAGGCTGACACGCCTCCAAAAATATTCGTGTGTTCAACCAGAGCTATTGTAGCTGTTACATGGAAGTTGGCCTGGTTTCTTATGGAGGTTGCCAGGCAACTCTGCAAACCGCTTCCTTCCGTGGAAGCTGACCCTATGGAGTACGGCGTGCTTCCACGGAATTCGTCTTTCACGGTCGACAACTACTTCCGTAAAAGCGTCCTTCATGAACTTTGTCTTGCCTCCATGGAAGTTGTCGTGCATCCATGGAAGTTACCAGACATTACCGTTGCTTTCATGAAATTCTTCAAGTTTCCATGGAGGTTTGCACGTCAGCCCTGACAAACACTTCCTCCGTGGAAGTTGTTTAATGGAAAATTTCAAGCTTCCATGGCCGTGGAAATTTTCAACCTTCCATGGCGGTTGCCTGCCAGCCCTGACAAACACTTGCCTGGAAGTGGCTTTCATGGAAGTAGTCGAGGTTCCATGGAAGATGTCTTCCAGCCTTGTCAAAACGTTTCGGTGGAAATTGATTTTAAGGAAGTTGCCGTGCTTCCATGGAAGTATGTTTGAGTTTCAGGGAAGGGATGGGTTGACCATAGAGAACTGCTGACGTCTGACGTCATCATGCCACCGCGTTGCTGGCTACAAAGTGAACGTGGGAACGAGGGCTGGAATTTTTGTCGGTGGAGATGCAGGGCGGCCCTGTGTACGTGTGGACGCAGCACGCGATTATCGAGTGCATTTGTGTCCGACTGTCCCGGCGTCGTGTTATTGTCCTGTAGGGTTCGCGTGTCCTCGTTGCGTGTATTCGTGATTCGCGTTTTCGCGTGACATTGCAGGCATTCTTCGCCGATGGACGAAGCCAAGACGAAAAAGTACACGACGACTGCCATGACCACCTCCTTCACCCAGCACGAAGTTGCACCAATTGATCGGTAAGTTTGACACACCATAAAGTACATGATACCGTAGAGTGGATGATTACTTCTGAGGCAGCGTGATCTTTGTGCCCCGGGAGGTGTTCGTACAAAGGAAAAGCGGGGGGATGACCCCTCCGGGAAGATACCACGCACAATCAACCTAACCCATTTCACCCTCCAACCACGCACACACTGGTCTAGCCGCAGATCAACAACGCCGGACCAACGCTCGCAATGAGGGAAATACGAAAGACAGTGTTTTCAAGTAAACAGCAGTGATACTGTATGCATATTCCGCCACATACATTTGGGCCCCAAAGGCGCCGAAGGTTCCAACCTCAGAGTATATCAACACTAAAAACCTGCAGGTAGAAACGAACATTCGTGGGGTGCACACATAAAGTGAAGAGCCCTGCCACCAACTCAAGCTAAGCCAAGGGGTTTGCACGCAGCTCTATGGCTAATTGTCTTGCCTTATGCCAGGTTTTCCAGCAAAATAACCTGGGGGCGGGGAGAGGAAATAGTCCCATCTACCAACACACCAACTTAGTCCAGGATCGCTAGCCACCAGAGCCTAAGCGGCAACACCTCTGACCTCACCAACGCTTCAAGGCTCTTCATCTTGCTCCCGCGTTCAAAGAAAACCCACGACTGTACGGAACAAGCCCTCAAGCTCAAGCCCCACCAGCAACGCCACCACGCTGCTCAAGTCCGCACCCTTGGCTCCAACTCCACCTCCACTCCCGCCGTATTGAGCCTGCCCGCTCACATCCTGTACAACGGAACCTGTGGCGCCCTCAGATTTCGCAACCTTACAGCTATCTATTGCTCGGCCAGCAGATTCGTTTGAATCACCGCCGCCTTTGCCACTTGTTTCGTCGTTCGTTTTCGTCTTCGAGGCGCGCGAGCGGACCATTATCAGCCAGCTCCGACGACGCCACGTTCTATCCGCCTCCGCCCGGGCCAACAACAGGCGTGTGCGCTTCATATTTTCATCCGAACAGTATGGCTTCTCTGGCTCGTGCAAGAGTGCGGGTCTGTCGAACAAATGCGCAGGGGTTTGGCCACCAGTTGTGAAGGCCGTTTCGTCTACTCCCCATCTCAGCAGAATATCCACCGTCTCAGCCAGGCCTGCAGACCTCCCACAGCAATCATCGTGCAATGGTGTGTACTTCTTGTTTGCACCACACTTATTTACCACGGCCCCACTATGCAAGAGGGCTAGCAAAGCTTAGTTGTTGCTGGCACACGCGGCAAAGGCGAGAGGTGTCCGCCCGTCGTTTGTCATCAGATCGACGTCTGCTCCTTCCTCAATCATATACCCGCCTGGTCTGCACCAGCAGCGGTGTGCAGAGCGGCGAGGCCCCTGTAGTCACGAGCATTCGCATCGGCCCCATGTGCAAGAATTGCTTTCAGGATGTGGGCGTACCCATGGTACGCAGCGCAGTCGAGGGCCGCGCAGCCGCTATTTTTTCTGTCAGTGCTCCGGATATTGAATTTGGCACCAGCAGCCAATAGAGCCTCGGCTGCAGCCAACTGGCCTTCGTCTGCTGCCCATATCAGTGGCGACCCCCCGCACCCGTCCAGAACATCGATGGCTACCCCCTTGAGCAACAGGGCAGACACAATACTCGGATGCCCACCCAGGGCAGCTTGGTGCAATGGACTAATTCTTGAAGGAGCGGAACTGAGCCGACTTGGGTCTGCATCAGCTATCAACATGTCCTTCACCAGCTGTTCGTGCCCCCCGTAATCAGCCTCGTGAAGCACACAAAACCGGTCCACGGGGTCCTCAAAGCGTGCGTCCGCCCCCGGCGGAAAGCAGTAGTCTCGCCGCTTCTTCGTGGCCGCACACCGTCGCCACGTACAGAGCCGACCTCTTCGGGGCCATGGACACAACAGTCACGTCCGGTTTCGCCCCCGCCCGAAGCAAAGCGGTGACCACGTCTGCGCTGCCGCTGAGCGCGGCCGCGTCCAACAGAGTGCGACCTCGACACCCTCTCCATCCCGCACTCCCGTCCGCCCCAGCTTCGATCAGGATGTTCACCAGATCCAGGTTGCCGCGGGCAGCGACGTGTTCGAGAGGCACACGAAGCCAGTTTGCCCACTCACTGTTGTGGCGCCGTACGAAACGAGCTTGAAGATATCGGTCTCCAGTCCTTGCAGGGTACTCGCTTGGGAAAGAGGTGCATCTTGTTAATGAGGTAGTCGTCGTCATGTGGTACTGCTGTTCAACCACGGCCGCTGTGTTTTGTGTCTGCCTGTCTGCCTTGGGCTGTGGGTGGGGCGAAACCCCAGCGCACGAGACCGGCGGCTCCGTGGATCAGTGCAATCAGGCCGCATTTGGCGCATATAGCTGAACAGACTTTACTACACACCCTGCTGCCCTCCTGCTGTGTATGCTTGTGTGCTGTACTGCGCTACCGCCCGCAGTGTTGACGGACGGCCATGGTCAGCGGCGGGGCGGAAGGTGGGGGGGGGGGGCAGAAAGAAGACCCCCTTCGCCTCCTTGGATACCTGAAAACCAACAAGAGGGTGGCGTACGTGCTGGTGGTGATGGTGCTAGTGCACCTCTCGAACCAGTACGATAGGTGGGTTCTTCTCCTCCTGTTGTGTCATGGGATATATGTACCAAATCGGAGTAATTAAGGAATAATAAAATCTAATTGGTGCCGTGATACAGATATGTAGGTCTGGAGCGTACACAGACAAAGCCTATCGTACAAGCGCTGCACGTGACCTGTTTCGTTGAATTTCCTATTGGCATCAATTGGTCAGTTCGTGATTATCAAATATTTGTAGTCTACTACAACAACAGCAGTTGGCTTGGTGTGGCGCGGTGTTGTACATATTTTAGCATTTGTACAAGCTCTGCGTATGTCAGTCACACCGCACTCACCTCTCTGCAGTACAGCAGTAATAGTCGACGGATCTGTACAGATCTCCAAACCGAACATGGATGGCTGCACCCCGGCCACGCAACCCAGGCGATGAGAAATGAGGACTTTCGTAGGTCCATGCGTGCGCACGTGTGCGTGATGCCCCCGCCCAGAAAATTCAGGTCAGTTTGCATTTGCGCGCAAGCCCGGAAATTCCCCAACCGTGGATCATTCTCCATTAATCTCCCTAAATGAGCATAGCAACAGCAGCGATGTACAACAGTAGACCCGAAACACGGGAGAAGGAAATACTTGTACCATGGTATGTTTTTTTTTTTTCTTAATATGACACAACGAAACCATCTCTATCATAGAAAAGAGTCTGAGACAGATTAGCAATGGATTCATAGCGTCAGAAAGTACCTGTATGTTTTGTGTGGAATTGGGGAGGGGACGTAATTGTACAAGCATTATGTAGCGAAAGGACTTAGCCCTCGGCAGCAACAGCATGGCCACAGCTCCTGTCAAGCAGCAAAATCGAGACGCTGAACGACAACCCGTCGTTGACGCGCCGACCCGACCAGGTACCTCTTCTCGGTGTCGAAGATACCGTTCGTGGACTACGACAGCCTCGATTTCGCTCTCATCGCCGGTCCCTTCTTCACGGCGTTCAACTCCCTCGCCGGTGTGGTGCTCAGCTTGGTTGGCGGCGTCCGCCCTGTCCGGGTATGCTTGGCTGCATCGAGCTTTGTTGATGTTGTTGCTGTTCGTCTTCTTCTTCTTCTCTTCTTGTCGGCGTCGTCGTGTCGGACGACCCTCACCCTCGTACGACACACGATCAGTACTTTTGTGTAGAATCATGAAGGACCCTTTTTTCCACAAGGTTCTTGGCTTGAAAGTGTTACAGCCTTTAGGGCTCAAAGCGGCGGTGCACTATGCGGCATGTAGAAGCAGATGCACTTGATCTTGCTGGACAACCACTATCGTGGACAACCTATGCGGTTGAACACATCATCGGATGGGGTTGGCGCTTGGAAAGATCGATCGTAATTTTACCCCCGGAGAGTCGTGTGCCTACAAGACTGTATTGCCAAACGAAGGCCTAGCCTTATAGAGCGGTAAATCTTGTCCAGTTCGGCAGGGACGCAATCGGTATTTCGTGCCATATACCGAGGGAGTGCCAGCATCGCAATGAAAACAAAACCTCCAGGAAAAATCTCCAACGGGCTTTGCAATACCTTATCGTGAAACTTGGGCACCTCCAACCGAGTTCTACGGTATTTATATATTTTTGTGCGATTCCGGGGCGTGTTTTATTTTATGTTGCTGCTGATGCTGCTGATGCTGCTGATGCTGCTGATGCTGCTGATGCTGCTGTTGGTGGTTCCATTGTCGCCGTTGCTCCGCCTTGGCGACCGCGCGGTTTTGCACCAGCTCCTAAGCACAGCATGCCTTGTCTGGAGCGCCTCTACCGGAGCTGTGGCCTTCACGCACAAGTTCTGGCAGGTAAGCGAGCGTCGGGGGGATCGGGGTCCATTCCTCAGGCTCTACTGCGTGCGATGCTACATTTCAGTCCGTACGGCGGGCGCAGTGCAGTACGGATCACCGGTCTGGTTCGATTGTTTTTCGACTGCTACACCATTGGGGCTGCTACGTGCAGCAGAGATCGACGCACCAATTCCCGAAAACGTCTGTGATGTTGGTGTTTTTTTGGTTGGTAAAAGGTGGCACTCGCGAGGATTGGCCAGGGTATCGGAGACGCTGCCTGCAGCCCGTTCGCCGTGAGCATCCTCAGAGACAACTTCGGTCCGGAGGTCATCGGTTCCGCGATAGGTGCGTCGCTACACCCACGATCTCCGCCGCGGCCGCACGTGCCTCAAGTGTGTAGAGCGCAGGGCGCGCGGGGGGGTACTCATAGCCATTGATGCCGTACAGGGAAGGAGCGTACTCATGTTTTGAATGCCGTAGCTGTTAGACCATTGACCACGAGTCCTCGAGAGGACGGAGTATTGTTTCGACAGGAACGATCACCTATGACCAATCGTGCCTTCCTACTTTACCACAGGTGGGGGGGGTCCGGTCATGTCGGGGGTTCGGCGCCACCACCCCTCCCTGCTACTTGTCGCCCGTGCTGTCAATTGTGAAGGGTTGCTTTCATCCCTGCCTCTACTTCCCCCCTAGTTCCGCCGCCGCACCCGTACCGAAACCCACACCGTGCTTCCCTTAGCGCCAATCCCAACACAACATGACAAAGTGACCAAGAATCAATCAGCGGTTAGCACCATCCACGGTCGATTTGAAATACTGTGGCAGAATCTTCAACCGTCCATTTTGCTAACAAACCGTACGACCAGATGTATATATTATGTCACAACTAGCGCTGAAGCCCACGAACAAACGCCCCAGGACACGAAAAAAAGAGAAAGCCAAAAACCACGCTCGGAAAACCAACACACGGGGCAAAAACAAAAATTATAACAACAATATCAGGTGTGTACTACGTGGGTCTCTACGCGGGGTTCAGCCTGGCGCTAGGCGCCGGCACTCTCGTGGACGACCTGGTCGGGTGGAAGTGGTCATATCTGCTGGCGGCGTTGGCGGGGGCCGTGGTGGCCGCCTTGACCTTCCTCACGGTGCCGGAGCCGCTGCCGCCGCGCGAGGCGGTGTTGATGCCGCCGCCACAGCAGCAGCAGCAGCGAGGACGGGGCGGCGCGGAAGCGCCTCCGGGTGCAGCCGCGTTGGCGGAGGGTTCGGCGTCGACGATAACCAGGAGGAGCGGCGGCGGCGGCAGCCGGTCGGCGGTCTCGTCTCCAGTGTATTCCCTGGTCGGCAGGGAAGGCCGGGGGAGGGACTCTCTCTCTGCTTCCGCGAGAGGAGGAGGGTACGGGTCGGATCGCCCCGCGGTCGGTAGCGGCGGTAGCAGCAGCAGCCGCGAGAGGGAAGAGAAAGCGGGAACGGAGCCGACGTGGTTGGCGGCGGCGGCGGCGAGCAAGGCGCGCTCTTCACCGTCGTCGTCGCCGCCTCCGCCGCCGGTGGCGACGCCTCCTTCCACCGACCCGCGCTTGTTGTACACCCCCCCCCGGACACTACGCCGCCCCCCGCCGCCGGGGGGCGCGGAGGAAGGGCTTGGGCTTCAGCGCGGCTCCTCGCCGTCGTCGTCGTTGACGGCATCGCCGCCGCCGCCGCCACCACCGCGGCCGCGCCGGAGCTCGGCGTACTCGAGGCTCCTCCATCGATCTCGAGGCAAGCTGTCGGACCTCTCGGCCGCCTGGCTGGACTCCCCGTCGCTCCTGCTCGTCTGCGTGGCCGGTGGAGTGCGCGACGCCGGCGGTTTCGTGTTTGGGTACTACCTGGCGAGCTACTTCAGCCCGCTCCTGGACGGAAACCCGAGCCTGACGCAGCACGGTGACGACCCCTGCTCGTCGTCGTACGATGTCGGCTACGCCGACGACCAGGTGGGTCTTGCGGGCGGACTGTTGTGTGTGTGTTTTTTTGTTTTGCTCTTGTTCGTTTGTTTGGTGATTGTGAACTCTTCGCGCTCTTTCTCTCGGCACGCGGTGGTGGTGATGCGATTGTTGATAATGGTGTTTAATGCTCATTTTTTGTGGATGGTCTTCGGGGAGTCGTTGGGTGTTTTGGGTCGTGTTTTCCCCTTCGTGCCGGTTCCCTGGACTCGATCATATTTTTTGTGAATCGTAGTCACGAGAGTTGTGGTGCGCGCCCCCCCCCCTCCCCCCAAGTCGAAATTCCCCGCCCGGACCCAATGTTACGTCGTTTCTCATCTCTTTTCCTCTCCTCGTGTGTGTGTCCCGGGGGGCGGGGGGTGTACTATTACTACTGTGCCACACGCGACCCCAAAACAACTTTCGGCCGAAAACAAGATCTGCGACGAGGCTTACCCGTGGTGCGTGGAAGGCTCCTGCTTCAGGCTGACGAGCTCTCCCTGGCACGACGTCGGCATGCCGGCGCACCAGCTGGAGTGTTTCATTTCGTGGGTGCCGCTCGTCGGTGGCTCCCTCGGGGCCATGATTGGTGGCTTCTTGTCCGACCGGGTCGCGCAGGTACAGCAGCAGCAGCAGCAGCAGCAGCAGGGGTTTCCCACGAGGAACGAGGCTTTACGTAGAAGCCGAAATCAAAGAGTTTTGATTGGTCGAACCCCCGAGACTCGCGTTTTGTAGAAGCCGAAATCAATCAATTAGGGTGGTCAGCGCTTAGTCTTGCGATTTGATTTTATCTTCTAACGGCGTGCGTCCCGCTTTTTTTCGTTTTCCTTTGGGGAAGGCGAAAGAGTTTGCTTCCCCGTTTATGGTAACTCAGCATATTCTCTTGTCGCTTTTTCATTCACTTTGGCCGGAAGCGGAGATAATTGTTGCGATCAGACTCTCGTTTCTCTCTAGAGTAGCGCCAATTCACCACGCCTCCCTCCCCTCCCCGTCCGTGAACTTGACGCGGATAAACCTGGCACAGAATGGGTTGTTGTTCGTGCTTTGCCTGCCCTCTCCAAGCCCGAGGAAAGTATTCTGGCCGTACCCACTTTTTCTTGAAGAGGACCACACGCAGCACCAGCAGTACAACACTCTACGGCACTAAATAGTAGCTTGGCGGCGGGCTTGGCATCTCTACCGGTGCCGCGGTGTGCCCTCGCCTCGTGGGAATACCCGTGGTCTGCACGATTCGTCAACAGCAGCAGGCAGTGAAAAAAATGGTTTTACTTTCTCACAGACGAGTTCTTTTTTCTCACAAAAAGCGAAACAAATTCCAACGTCTGGAACTGCTTTCCACTTAGTCCATTTTGTTTTTTTTCTTTTTTTCCAGCGGCTAGGAACGGCGGGGCGTCTGTGGGTGGTGATCGTTTCTAATGCTCTAGCGTCGCCCTTCGCCGTCGGCGTCCTCCTGGCCCCGTACCCATGGTGCTTTCTGTGCCTCCTGGGGGTGGAGCTCTTGGGAGAGATGTGAGTGGTAGTGCTAGACAGTAGTCTTCACAAGCATATCTTAGGGTTAGGGTTTACATACGTTTGGGTTAGGTTTAGTGGTAGGTGTATTGTCATGTACTGCTACAATACTGTAATTTTTGTCAGTGTCGCCTCGGCTCTGGGTGTACATGAGGTATTTTGCCCCTGTCTACATCCACACGCGTGTGGTGTAGTGGTAACATAAGTGCCTTCCAAGCACTTGCCCGGAGTTCGATTCTCCGTACGCGTATCTTTTTTTGCTTTTTATGTTGCGTCCTCTGGGGGACGCGTGGTCAAAGGTCCCACAACGAAGGCATGCAAAACATGAGTATTGTACGCCTCCCTCCCTACCCACATGTTTTGTTACAAACGGCAGAGACTCTAGCCGTGCCTCTAGAAAGAGCAAGAACAGCCCGTTGCCGACAGTATCTCGAAAAAACCACTGCGTAATCAAGTTGTGTGCACCAAAATGATGTGTGTTGCGGATTGCCGTACACCCTGTATGAATTCCGTGGTGTACGTTTGCACCAAAATGGTCATGTGTGTTGCGGATTGCTGCACTGCTGTACACCCTAAACAGACTTCTTGTGTACGTGTGCACCAAATGGCGATTTGTGCTGAGGAATTTTTTTTTTTGGTTTCGTGGCGCCGCCGCCAGGTGGATCGGCGTCGTCCTCGCCGTGGTGATAGCCCTCGTCCCGCGGCACGTCCGCATCACCAGCGTGGCCTTGTACAACTTCATCATCACCAACATCAGCGGCCTCTCCACGACCCTGGTGCCGCTCATCCGCGGGCGGTACGACTCCGAGCACACGTTCAGCTTCTTCGTCGAGCCGCTCGCGGGAGCCGCCACCGCCGCCGCCGCCGCAGCAGCAGCAGCAGCCGCATCATCCTCTTGGTCCGCGCAGAGCGCTGGTGGCGAAGGCGATGCGGGCCGCTTGCTGCTGTCTTCGCCGTCCGGTCTTGCCGAAGCGGGGACGGCGGTGGCGGCGGCGGCGGCTGAAGGGCCGGTTGAGGTCAGCGTGTCGGAGGCGGGGTCGCACGGGCTGCAGGCGGCGCTGCTGTGGATGTACCCGGGGATGTACCTGGCGTCGTCGTGTGAGTAGTGCGCGCTAGCACGGTGGACGGCTTGTGTTTTCCGTCGTAACATGAGTGAGATATTAAACAGGGGGGGGGGGGGAAT